TACACATAAATACAAGTATTCTGGAATATTTTTAATGCAAACTGAGCGCAGGTGTTACACTTAATAAAATAATAATATAAAAGTCAGTATAGCTATACGTGAAGAGTTATCTTCTCTTGACAATACTGACAGGAAGAATATCTATCATAACATAAACTTTATCTTGTGTGCAAAACTGATCTAATTTTAAACATGTGTCAAGAAGACGGGGAAATGAAACAATAAAATCACAGCATGGGAATTATCACCCACATTTTTCTAGCGGAAAAAAGCACAAAAAGGTGCACGATTTATACAACTTTTAGGCCTTTGTTGTATCATTAATGTTATCAAACCATGACAGATCTTGTGTATTCCCTTTATTAAATTGTTAATCAATATCAGTGAATTTCCAATCTTTGAGATAAAAGATGTTTAATCACGATGATTCCCAAAGAACAAATATGGCCGACATATCAAATATCTTTTATAAACAATTGTTATCGACACCTGCCTACTTTGTGTTTTATTATCTATTGTGCTAACCGAATATATTTGCAATCTTGTTGTTTTAAATAAGGTTTTTTAAGCTGAGTAAAAATTACCGAGAAACGTGTACTTGTATATAATACGAGCCCCCACCCTAATTTTTGCATTTAATTTTCGTTCAAAATTTCTCTTATTATCTGTTTATATTTCTGTGATGAGGTATCATGTAGATTATTTACATTATTCAGACTATTGTCCTCATCTTTGGCGCCATATTTATTACAACGTTTCGGTCGTTGTACGCTCCGGCCTTCTTCAGGTGGTTGGAATGTCGAATTGAATTTTTTAACATTCCAACCACCTGAAGAAGGCCGGAGCGTACAACGACTGAAACGTTGTAATAAATATGGTGACAAAGATGAGGACAATAGTCCGAATAATGTAAATAATGTTCTCTTATTATGCACATGAAAATACGGTAATAATAATTATAATTAATAATAATAATAATAATAATAATAATAATAGTAATAATAATAAGCAAATGCAATGTACCAAATGTAAAAACGACAAACACCGTACCACTCAGTGGTTTCATAGTACAGGGTTAAAAGCTGGACCGAAGGTTTTATTTTTGCCTTTCACGACTAATACTTTTTACTTTACTAACTAGAAATTACCACACACACATACTGAAGAATTGTTTTAATCCGAAATGCAGATTCTGTGATAAATATTCAGAAATTGACCATTTTGTATCAGGTTGCACAGTGTTAGCATCCACTGAATGATGGAGGGGTCAATATATGCACTGGAAAATCTGCAAGTTTCATGGAAAAGAGACTGCAAGAAACTGGTATGGCATCTCACTCCAAATGCAATGTACCAAATGCTCAAACGATGGCAAGATAAGCCTCTTCATGGTCAATATTCTGCCTGATGTAGAGAAACCCCATGCCCATTAGTGGCTACGTAGTGCAGGGTTAAAAGCCGAAACCGAGGGTTTTATTCTTGCTGCACAGGACCAATGCTTGCTAACTAGAAATTACCAAGCATACATACTGAAAAATTGTTAAGCAGATTTTTTTTTACAAAAATAAGTGGAAAATATCATGACCTTAGGTCTCTGGTTGGGACCCCGAAGGAAAATGGATATAACAGAAATGAAAGAAAAAAGTAATAATATTTTTTCTATAAAAAAAGTTTCTTAGAAATGTCTAAGAAACATTTGATTTTAATTTTTCTTTTTTCGCTTAGTTTGAATTTAACGTAGGTCCTATTCGATTGGTTGCTGAGGATAAAGCCCCAAACCTTATATCCTTTTTTTTTTTTTTTTTTTTTTTTTTAATGGGGATGTATTTTGCTTTTGAAATCAAATTAAGTAATTTACAATCGCCTGAGGAGAGGCAATAGTATGCGTTGAAACACGACTGAAATTGTGTAGCGATTTTTTCATGTTGTTTTAATATCCTAAAATAAATAATATTGCTTTGCTATGTATTGAGCCCTCTTTTCAATTAAATGTATGAACGTTGGACTTGTACGCTCTTCGTCCTCATCTTACCTACATATATATAATAAAAACAAAAAAAAAACACTTAATAATATTAACTTTGAACATGGACATAATATCTTGACCGTGTTTTGAAAAATAAAAACATTTTATAAAACATACATACAACAAACTATTTCTTATTTAACAAATAAAATATTTAATCCTTGAAAAATGGATAAATGTATAGCCGAAAGCGCTGGGATAAAAAGAACATTCGGACAGTTTTTATATAATTTATCACCTGAAAAGAAAAAAATATTAGATCGCATGAGAAATTGTATAAAAAACTAAATCAAAGCACCTTGTCTGTCGTTTACAATGAAATGTGCATGAAAGAAGGATTGCTGCCTAAATACACACACGCACACACACACACACACACACACACACACACACACACATATATATATATATATATACATTGTTTATTTGTTTAGATGGGTGTATGTAATTGTATGGAGATGTAAGGTTTTATGTATATATGTTTATGTGCACGTATGTGTATGTCCGTATGTATATATGTGCGTAAATGTATATATATGCAGGAGTGGATGTGTATGGATGTATGTGTATATGTATGTATGTGTGCGTGTACTTATGTATGTATATGTATACATATATGTATGTGTATGTGTATGTATGTATATATATGTATATGAATATATATAATATATATATATATATATATATATATATATATGTATACATGGGTATATGTGTGTGTATATGTGTACACGCCTATATGTATGTATGTACGTGTAAATGTAAATATGTTATTGTGTATACGCATGTGTTTTTGAACATAGAAATATAGGTCCTAGCTAGATTAGATAATCGTTATATTAATTTTTTATATGTTTATATTTGATTTGTAACCTGTACTCGATATTAATTTTGTCAAATTTTTTTTAATTACACAGCGGCCCTTTCAGTAAATGCCCTTCAGTTTTAGTTTTCCCCGCCCCATCTCTCTCCCCCACCCCTTTTTCCTGTCTTTTCCTCTCCCTCTCTCTTATTCTTTAAGATTAGATCGTCTATTGTGTGTGTATGTCACCACAAAATGTATCCTTTCCGGTTACATCTTTAATGTATTAGACATCCGACAACATTCATATTTCTCTCACTTAAACTGTCTTTGACTCCCCTCTAAAACTTCTCTCTGTTAAGGTTTAATCTCCACCTTCTCTCGTCTGTTACCCCCTCTTTATCTCTAACATTCGTCCCACACTCTCATACTTACACTCTCTCTAAATTTTATTTTTTATTTCCGGAGTTGTTTTTTTTCTGTTTCCATTTTTTTGAATTTATAGGTCTGACGAATTGATCGTATTTACGATTCCAATGGAATAAATTATGACCATGGAATATTAGTGTTTAAGCCTTTTATTATTATATATATATATATATATATATATAGATATATATATATATATATAAACATAAAACATTAGGCAGCATATGATTTACATACAAAGAATAATCACACATAGAATTAATCAGAAGTATCAATGCGATTATTATGACATCCATCGCTAGAAAACATAATATATGCATTAAAATCCTGTTCATCCAGAGTGCGAGTTTTGATCCTTGAAGAAAAACTTGTCTGTAGTTTTTCAGTTTATTTGATGTTAAAATGCTAGTACTTACGGACAGTCTTCCATCCATCATCAGGCATTATTAATAATATTAGTGATCAATATATATATATATATATATATATATATATATATATATATATATATATATAATATTAGTGATCAATATATATATATTTATATATATATATTAATAATATTAGTGATCAATATATATATTTATATTAATAATATTAGTGATCAATATATATATATATATATATATATATATATATATATATATATATATATATATATATATATATATAGAGAGAGAGAGAGAGGGGGAGAGAGGAAATGAATGAATGAAAGAAAAGAGAATAAAAGAGATTGTGTATAAGTACGTATGAGATAAAATGAGAGGGTGCAAAGAAATGGTATGAGCGAATAAAAGAAAAAGGAGAGAGAGAGAGAGTATATGAGAGATAGAAATTGAGAGAGAGGAAAGAAGAGGAATTGGATGCATAAGAAATATAGAGAATCAAGTATAAAGAGAGAGAGAGAGTGTGGGTATTTGGGTGCATGTAAGAGAAAGAGAAATAGTGAAACGGACGAGAGAGAGGCAGAGAGAAAGAGGGAGAGAGAGAGAGAGAAAGAAAGAAAGGAAAGAGAGAAAGTAGAGAGGAGAAAAGAAAGAGTATATTTCTATGAATGGGTGTGAGGGAAAGAGAAAGAAACAGAGGGAGAGAGAGAGAGAGTGTGTGTGTGTGTGTGTGTGAGAGAGAGAGAGAGAGAGAATAAGTGAAGAGAGAGTAAAGGCACGAAAGGGAAGTAGACTTAGTAAAAGGGTGCGATAAAGAGAAAAAAAATACAAAATAAGAATTTTGAAAGAGTTAAGTGCCGAGGAGATGACTGATGGGAAAAAATTGCAGTGTTCGAAAGAAAAGAAATCTATGGAAGATAAAAAGCGATATAAATGAGGTAAAGAAGCGATGAAAAGCGAATAAAAAAAGAGGTAAATAAATACTTAAACGAAGCAGACGGATTAACAGGAGTTCGCGCGTTTGAGTATGGGTCATCGTAAAAGAGATGGCAAGATAAAACTGGAATAAAAATATACAGACGCTGAGAAATGTCTGACATTAAATAATGGTTGTTTGTTACTGTAATAAGTCTTTTTTTTTTCTAACGAAAGTATCACTGCTGTGTGCCTCTGCATTAGGCTAAGCTTAACTTAATAAATATCTGACCTTACACGCGACTTTGATAGTTACGGATTATAACTGCCAGAAGTCAGATTTTAACAGACTCTATAACTATTGTTTGTTTAGCGGCACACCAACACCTTATAGGTCATTTAATGCCGAAATTTAATTTTCTTGGGAGCATTAATAATTTCTTTTACAAAAATTTATTTTTGGTAATATATTTTTTCGCGAAAAATATATTGCTGGTAATTTTTTTCAAAAAAGTATTGCTGGTAATTTTTTTTACCTGGAAAATGTATTGCTGGTATTTTTACCATGAAAATGTATTTTTATAATTTCCCAGTGTTTTGATACCAGTTTGGGAGTCAAATGTTTTCCCATAGTTGGGGTCCGAAGAGGTACTACCACCCCGGGCCAGGTTGAACCTGGGAACAACAGCACTTAAGAGGTGGTTCCACGCTCCTCAAAACCTTCTAATCAGAGCCCTTGCTGCCGGGTGTAGTTTATCGTCATACCCAGAACGCTTTTTCACATGCTCATTTTTAATGAAAAGTTAAGAGATTCGTCTAAATTTAGCTCCGTGCTCGTTTAAGCAAATCTTAATATGCCAAGTAATATAGGGTAATGATAATATTCGCTGTTTCCTTATAAGGAAACATTCGACATTTATGGATTGATATTAAGTTCTTACCCACATATTCGCATAAAATTCTTATTCTGTAGACCTCTACCTCGTGTGGCTCCCGGGCCTGGCACAGGGTGATCGACTTTATGAAAAATATATGTAAAATAAGATGCTTTTTCTGAATTATATGCAAATGATACTGTAGCGAAGGGACGTCAAAGGAGTGTAATGGAAGCGGTTGCTTTTGCCCAGGGGACGAATTACTACTTGTTACAGCGCAGGTGGAGAAAAAAAAGTCACACAATGAGTTCAGCATCTTCAAAAGAAATGAATTTCAATGCGTGGGTGGGGATTTTATATATAAGTTTATATAGAAAAAACAAGTAAGTCCCACTCCCATTTAGCTGTGAAAGCAAGATCACAGGAGAGATCAGCTGTCAGGTTACGGTCATCGTGCTCTCATAACAACTCGTATCGTGTCCATATATATTTACTGTTTATCTGAGAATATGGTAGACAAGACAGTTGTCAGTATGACAAACATGATTTTATTTGCCACATCTTGACATGATTGTATATCCCATGTAGGATATATATATATATATATATATATATATATATATATATATATATATATTCATAGAAGATTGAAGTTCAAATACAGTAAATTCGTCCTTACTAACCGAACGCTCCTCTGTGGCCAAATCGGTTAAAGGCACGTCGAACTAAATGACAGTTCCGTATAGGACACAGGTCCGAATCCTGTCGGAGGACGAATATTTTCTGTGAATATTTCTCGAACATTCAGGCCGGTAAATGCTGTTTAATACTGTTTATTATAAACAGAGTATTTACTTAAATATTTGCATCTATAAAAAGAACGTATAAACATAAAAATATCTTTATATATATATATGTACATTTAGGCAGCAATCCTTCTTTCATGCACATTTCATTGAATTTAATTAAAAGTTAATTCTTCTTGAAATAGATACCCTACCCAACCTTAGCAAAACAGAAGATGATGAATCTATAGATAAGAATTAACTCTCTGACCACTTAACGAAGAAAATTAGCCTAGCCACTCCCACAATAACGAATGTTATAACGGACCATGCCTAAAAACACACGTAAACCAAGAGATAGCTTATTCCTAAAATTTCGCTTGAAGATGAAACGGGACTAAACATCTCAACTTAATTTTAATTATTTGGATGGTTTCGGCTCTCGTTTTTGAAACATGAGAACTCTTATGTAGCGAAGGAATCATATTTTTAAACAAAAAAATATTATTATAATAAAGCTCTACTTCTGTATGGAGCACTGTGTTAAAAATAAAAAAAAATACTAAGGAACTCCGGATTATGTACCCAACGTGTTCTTTTCTATTTTCTGCATACCTGCGCACTTATACATACATACATATATATATATATATATATATATATATATATATATATATATATATATATATACTACAGCTGGAAAGTTTGAGACTACCTCTGGTAATTTTTTAAATTGGCTCAAAAAGTAGTTGTTTTCTCTTTTAAATAAGAGAAAATAGATGATAGATGGTTAAAAAAAAAGGGAGAAGTGATTTTTTATGAGAAATTTTGTTCTGACAAAAGGAAAAAAGCATTTTATGATTAAATTTTGGTCTCATCACAAATTTATTGCATTCGTTGCAAAAGTTTCTCAAAGTATAAGTTTGATAACTGATTCTTTTCTAATGACTCTAAGAGTTCTTTTTCATTTTTCTTCACTCTTGTCAAGTTCATCACATGCTAATTCTGGGGGTGGCTTCAAATCTTTGAACTTGAGTACACACACACACACGCACGCACACACACACACACATATATGCAGCATATCTTCATTTAAGCATGATTCATTAAACAATAAAACATATGTATATTTATTCGTATAATAATCCTTTCTAGTTCTCTAATTGTCATCTTGATGTTGTTGAAATTATATATATATATATATATATATATATATATATATATATATATATGTATATAAGTTACGTCCTAGTACCCTTGGGAAAGGTGTGAATTCTCTTCTCCTCCAGCTATGGGTGAATAGCAGGACAGGCTACAAAAACCAGATTAGTAAAGTTAATGATATAAAATGGCGAAATCCCTTCGCAAACAACATTTTAAAGGTGCATTAACCTACAAATCACTCGATGAATGTTATGATCCTTGTTTTTAAAAAATGTTTTTTTTTTTTTTTTTTTTTAAATGTGTTATTGTTAACGGATACAAAATTTGGGAGTGTTCAGTTGCAACGCTAAGGTTGACATTTTTGAAAATTTAAGAAAATTTAAGAATAACACATTTAAAAAAACATATTTCGATTCGCATTTCATTTTTTGTCTCGGATGCTACGTGAATTTTACCAAAAACAAAATAATTTCCATGCCTGAGGATGACTGAACGTACTGTTGAAAGTACTTGTGTATTAAAGAAAGACCTTATGCAACTTTTAATTTTTAAATATATATAATTGATCTGGAGAAGTTTATCACTGAGCTAAGTGGTGTTGGTTCAGTCATGCCTGCTACGTAGTTTCCGGAGTATATCAAGAAAACATGTTCACTCTTCAGGACCTGCTGTCTTCTGTGCTGCTATTTCTCAATTTTGCCGTATTTATGTGTGGCTTTTCCAGCGGGAAAAAATGATACAGTAAATCTAGTACTTAATACGATACTATTATATATATATATATATGCTTGTGAGTGTGAAAAGCGTATATAAATATTTATATATTATATGCGCGGTACTTTGACGATCGCTAAAGCGTGAAACCTAGGTGAAACCCTAGGGTCACAAAACATCTATTATATATATATCCATATATATATATATATATATATATATATATATATATATATATATATATATATATATATATATATATATATAAATAAATAAAATTGTAATCAAGTAATTCATCGAGTCAAAAACCTCAACAGAATGTAGAAAGTACTGGACGGCCGTTTCGTCCTATATATTTGGGACTCATCAGCAGTGGGCATCCACTACCGAGAATTGAAACCCTGACAGTTAGGTTATCAAGCATGATGTTTCATACCAACTGGTCCACCGGGCTTCGGTAACGAAGCGATTGCAAATCCGACTCAATATAGCGCTGCTAGCCCACATATTCCGTGGTGGAACTCAACTAAGTTTTCTGTAACCATAGGACTGTGCCCCCCCCCACCTGAAGCCACGACTATTACCACCAAGCCGCTGACTCTAGAGCATTAGAAACCTATTCAAGCAATGATATACACATGATAGTAATTATTAGGGGGATTTGATAATTATAATTAAGTAATTCATCGAGTCTGATAGAAACCTCAACAGAATGCAGAAAGCACTGGGCGGCCGCTTAGTCCTATATTTGGGACTCATCAGCAGTGCGCATCCACAGCATCACAGCAGTGCGATGAATTACTTAATTATAATTATCAAATCCTCCTAATAATTTCTATCATATATATATATATATATATATATATATATATATATATATATATATATATATATATATATATATATATATCTCGACTCCCGTCGAATTCGACGCATGAGTGTCAAGCAGATCAGTTCCTACCAAACCGACAGCCCAACACCAGCACATTAGATTTGATTATAGTGGTGACGGCTTTGTGCAGAACCATCCACACATTTTGAACGGCCGAATACAGAGACCTGGTGTACTACGCGCCACAAGGTTCCAAAACGACCCTCCGCAGAGTTGTCCTTCTTCTAGATCAGTTGCCATCCTAGGCTACAGAACCCAGTCTGTCCTGCTATTTACCCATAGCTGGAGGGAGAAGATATATATATATATATATATATATATATATATATATATATATATATATATATATATATATCGTGAGTTTTGAATAGGTGTAGAGGTTTATCCTTCCTTGATTCCAATTTAGGATTGTGTTTCCCATTTTTTCAAATGTTTTCTCATTCCCTTTCAGTCTCAGAAGCCTCTTTTGTTTCAGTAGCACCATCACCTTACTTGTGGCGAATTGATTTATATATCTATATTTGCTCTGCGTTTCATATTCAAATTGCTGTAAGATCGTCCATCCTACGTCCGCTTCCTGGGTAAAACGATAAACTACATCCGTGTCCTGGGTAAGACTATAAGATACATTCGCGTCGTGGGTAAGACGATAAACTACATCCGCGTCCTGGGTAAGACTATAAACTACGTC